ATAAACTGTCGTTCCTGACAAAACATTAACTTGTGCCGGTATTATTCCTTAACTGTAATAAATAAGGTCAGAGATAGGACGCGACCGTCCTATCATTCGAAAAAGTCGTTGCCGAACATTGATTTTTATCATCGTTTATTTGAATATTACAGACTTTGGTAAATTTCTTACAGAGTAAATGATTAATTACCTAAACGTTGCTCCGCCGGCGCCCGATGCTCTTCCTGAACCTCCTCCTCCTCTCAGTCCTCGCAGTCCAAGGCACTCACTCGCGTTCGCGTCGCGAATACGAAAATCGCCCGTTATTTCAAACGACACTCCCGGCACGTACTTTATCATTTTAGGACAAAGATGTAACTCGAATAGTTAATTATCGCACGGAATACACGTTCGACACTCTCTGCAATAGGTAACGACGAAAAAGGATAAGATGGAAAATTATAGGAAGTAGTATGTATTATTAGAGAAAATAACGCGCCGCTACAGACTAATCTGCCTCGTAGAAGTGCCGCCGTGCGAATAATAACAGGACAATAGCAAGTACAAGGTCGCGCCAGTTCTGACTTAAAGGAATGCGAAGAGTGGGGAGAAGCAATGTTTATACCGATACTCACCGCGCGCGCGACAGACAGAGAAAGATAGAGAGAGAGAGAGAGAGGGGGGATATGAAGCGCGCATACTTAGCGCGACGACGAAAACAACCCCACCACACGGCGCAAGTCAGTTCGAAAATATTAGAATAATTAACGAATATTTAACGAAATTGAGTTTAAATTCGACTCAAAACTATTTGAATTTAAATTCGATTTCTATAAATGTTCGATAAATGCTCTAATGTTAAGAATTTCGCGCAGCATTTTGTGGGATTTTTGACGCCTTTAGTCTACATGATTTATATCTTCTCTCTTTCTCTCTTGCGCTATGTATCGGCACATTGTTGCACTCTGCTCTCGGTATTTTTCCAAATCGGAATCGGTGCGACTTTGATACGTTTATTGCACCCTTATTGTTTGCACGGCGGCACCTCGTACGAGGCAGATCGTTCCATATCAGCGCGTTATCCTTATTCCAATAGTAGCCTTATCCTTATTCTTTCCGTAGTTTTCGATCTCACCTTTTCCGTCGCTACTTGTTACGGCAGAGTGTCAAACGTGTAATCCGTGCAATAATATTCCGAGAGTATTACTTTTGTCCTAATGTAACAAAATATGCGTCGGTAGTGCCGTTTAAAACGTCGGGCGATTTTCATATTGACATCGCAAACGCGTATGAGTGCCTTAAAGGAGAATTGAAAAAAAGAGGAAGAGCATCGGCGGAGCAACGTTTAGGTAATTTATCCTTTATTTGTTATCTGCTATTTTTGCAAAAAGTGAAATTTGTTGTGCTTATTTTTTCAAATAATTATTTTACACGCTGTTATAATTGGAAGTATTTTATATGTTGCAGATCAACTTGTGAACAGCTCCGCTGCTGCGTGTCGTACCGGTACCTCAATTTAATTTGTGTTATTTTAATAATATATATAATTATTGCAGTATTATTATAAAATACAATAATTTAAAGAAATCATTTTATATTGTTTCAAGATATAAATTCTTCAATAGTTGCGTAATAATTTACAATCCACAAACATTTTCCAAAAATTCTGATATACATTCAATATTCAAATACATATCACAATCCAAAAGTGCTGTACAATCGGCAAACATTCCGTACTCCACAAATATTCCATAAAATATCCCACAAGAGTTTCGCATCTGGAGGGGAGTATTAAATCACATTGCAAAATGAAATTGCTGCGATCACTATATATATAATATGTACACATACATATACAATATGTATACATAGAATCAATAATGCTTTAATACACAATTTGAGGCGTGAGCATCATATCTACAATAGATATTCATGCATTCGTAATTCCG